ACAACTGTGGGAAAGACTTTGTCTGAAAGTTCTTGAAATCCCGAATATTGTCCGCACTTTTAGACACCTCAGTTTTTGCTTCATGTGGATTGGCTCAGGTATTACAGAGACATTAGTTTTAAATCAGGACATAGGGTATGGCTTGTGACAGTTACCATAGTTACCAGGAAAGCTTTTTTAGCTTTGCTCTTCAGGCTCGGATAATCTGGCTCCCTCACTCATTGCTCTTGCATCATATTTATACACAGAGTACATACAGTATATTCCCAGCACAGTACCTTTGTTTTGGAAGATATTTTTCCAATCAGAGGAAAAGAATGTTGTTCTACAACTGTCTGTTGCTGTTAATAATCTCATGTGAAACCAAGTATCACGTCCACGCCTTTAGTCACATGTGTAATCACATGTGTAATTACTGTAAAAATGCTCATATCAAGACTCTAAGAATAAATCAGTCAAACACTCCCAACTGTTGAATGGTGTTTGTATTGAAGGGTTATCTGAGGATCAAACTGCGTTGTGCATCACTAATAAATATGTCGTCTTCCAAGAGTTTTAAATAGAACTATACCGTCACTCACAAGAGCATTTGGTGGACGCAATAAGCAAGACCGCAATTATTCAGCTGCTTGTGCTGACTCCATACCTTGCGTTGTCTCTTTTCAATACTCCTACTTTTATTTTAATATGGACTAATATGAACAATTAGAACAAACTGCAAAACGTCGTGGAAAACCTGCAAAAGTCACTTTCTCAAAATAAAAAGTTAATTTCTCAAAAGCAAGTCTTCATGTTGTGGGTAATCAGACTCAGACATACTGGGATCCTGTGCATCCAGCTGGGATGTTTATTCACAAAAATGGCAGTTGATTCAGACAGAGCAAAAGTCAAGACATGGTTTTATAGTCATTGTCACGTCACACATGGAAAGACAAACGTGTCACACACACGTCACACACACGTCACACATGGAAAGACAAACACGTCACACACACGTCACACACACGTCACACATGGAAAGACATACGTGTCACACAGAGACAGTCACATCATGGTCAGAATAATCAGAGTCTCGTAGAGTCCTGCAGTTGTCCTGCACAGAGGCCAAATCTCTTTCTAATCCTCACAATGTCTCAGAATAATAAGTCCTGACACCAGTGTTTATGAACAACAGTCACATGGGTTAGTCATGTTTTCATTGTGACTCTTCACTCTCTGTGTTTTCAATGTAAAAAAGTCAGATCTTGGTGAAAAAACGTATGTATGTATGTGTGTATGTACTGTGTGTGTATGTACTGTGTGTGTATGTACTGTGTGTGTATGTACTGTGTGTGTATGTACTGTGTGTGTATGTACTGTGTGTGTATGTATGTATGTGTGTATGTACTGTGTGTGTGTGTGTGTGTATGTACTGTGTGTGTGTGTGTGTGTGTGTGTGTGTGTATGTACTGTGTGTGTGTGTGTGTGTGTATGTATGTGTGTATGTACTGTGTGTGTGTGTGTGTGTGTGTGTGTGTGTGCATACAGTCACAGAACAACATTATGGTAGAACTGTAAACAGTAAAACACACACGTCATGCTCAGAGAGACATTGTTCAACCTCAGCAACAGAACGAGACATTTTGTTCTTACTTTGTTTTGTCAAAAACATCCAGAGCAGGTCAGTCGACTCGTTCAGCAACATTGCCCAATAATTACATGTATTTTAGACAAACAATGGCAGTCACACCTTAAATCCACACACTTCATTACCAAATTCTGATCAAGGACAGATTATAAAAATAAGAACTTCATTTGATGTTTCCTTTTGTTTGCCTTTTATTTATTTATTTATTTGACAATGACCTTCACAAATCGTAAAATCATACAAGTGATCCGATAAATAACACCTGCGGCTCTTCACATGTGACGCAAATTCAGGATTTCATTTTAGTGTGTGTTTGTTTTGTGTCTTTGTGTGTCCCTTGTTTGTCCTTGCTCTGTGGATTTTTGTTATGCTTATATTTGTGTTTGTCTGTCACACACACGTCACACACACACATCACACACGTCACACACACGTCACACATACGTCACACACACATCACACACGTCACACACACGTCACACATGGAAAAACATAATCGTCATCTAGAGACATCGAAAGAACAAAACACGGATACACAATCATAGCAGATACACAATCGTAGCAGATACACAATCGTAGCAGATACACAATCGTAGCAGATACACAATTGTAGCAGATACACAATCGTAGCAGATACACAATCGTAGCAGATACACAATCGTAGCAGATACACAATCGTAGCAGATACACAATCGTAGCAGATACACAATCGTAGCAGATACACAATTGTAGCAGATACACAATCGTAGCAGATACACAATCGTAGCAGATACACAATGGGGTCGATGCCTTTACTTCCTCCATTACTGACTCCGCTCACATTGTCTCCAGGTGTTTTGTGAAAATGCAGTAACACACTTAGACTTGTGTTAGTTTGAGCTAATGTTGCGATTACAACTCTAACGTAACATCCCAGGGACAGTATTCCACGGAGCCGATTCCCGAAGCAAATTCCGACCAGATTCTGCGACGGTTCCGGCGTCTCGGTCATGGATGTTATTACACGTGTGGTGCAGCAGGGGGCGCTCACGTCCTTCTCCTCTCTGCTCCTCCAGGTTGACTTTCTGCTCATGTCGACCCGACGAGGAGGAACCGGAGGAAGTAAGATGTCAATCAATACATTGTCCGATAATTAGGCCTGATTATGGAACGGGTTTGGACCTTTAAGAATGCACATGCCTTTAATCCAAAGGAGTGCACTAACAGATTAATGACACATGAAGAAGAAGGGTGACTTTTTCATTGTCAGAAACCACGTTACAAAACACTGCCTTCAGACAGAGATTGTAAGGAATCAAACAACCAATTATTATTATATTATTTTTATTACCATTATTATTTGTATTATTATTTCCATAAGTACTGTTTTTATACAACTGGATCATCATTACTTTCTCTTGGTCTGGTTCAAAAGTAATAAAACATCTTTTCTTGATCAAACAACAAATGAAATTAAAGGCGCAAGCGGCGATGAAAGGCCTCGCCCCTCTTGCGGCCACCTCCCGGGCGCCAGTCCCACAAGCGTCACGCGGCGCACTCGCCAACGAATGGGCAGCCCGATCGGACCAGGAATACGTACATAAAAGCTCATTAATAGGACCAAGTGCGCCCCTAGTGGTCACTTACGGGACATGCACGTCTACGCAGAGTAGTATTTTGCTCGTACAGATGTAAAGATTTGATTTTGCAACTTTGGTGAAGATCGGAAAAGTTTAGGTCAGAAGCCTTCCATAGGTGGCGCTGTAGAGTCATATTAGGTGTTTGTTTTCACAACATTCTCTCAGGTCATTACCAACTGTTACTAATGTGAGTTTCAGCTCTGTAGGTCTGAGCCTGTGGTCAGGAGAGCATCAAACATGGAGAAATTCCCCACCGCCTCGCATGAAAACGATGAGGAAAATGTAACTTTACTGCGATGATTGTGTAACTTCAAAACGACATGGTCAAAGTCTGTGCGAGGAAAAACCAGGGACTTGATTGAATTCAAATGTGCGGACTTTCGTTCATGTCTTCAGGGTCAAAAATCAAATTGTTCCGGCGGAAAAAAATAATAGTATGAAACCGGGGGAATAATAATAGGTTAATAATCAATAACTTTAATTACAGCTCTATTTTGTATCAAATGTTTTGGCCTAAACCTTTAATAAACTAATCAGCAGCGTTATCGTTGGTGTGACATGTTTTTCATTTGCTGTAGTTTGAAAGTTAGGTGCCCCAGCTTTAACATGAGTTTAAATGTTCTACTCTGGTTTCTATTTTTCTGAACAAAATTACTGTGTGTGTGTGTGTGTGTACATACAGTCACAGAACAACATTATGGTAGTGTGTGGGTGTGTACAGGATGTGTGTGTGTGTCTGTGAGTGTGTGTCTGTGTGAGTGTGTGTACATAATTGTTTTTAACTAGCCTTTTCTGTATGTAAAGCGCTTTATAAATACATTTTGATGGATTGAAGAAAGAATGTAAATCATTGGGGGCCGCTCCAAACGGGCCTCGCTTTGGGAACCTCTGCTGTGTCCATAATATTTAGTGTTTGTTTAAAGGTGATGTCTACAACTTCAAATGCATTTTATTTCTGAAATAATGAGTATTTCTGACCAAGGGACACTTTACGATCATGTACGGTAAGTCATTTTCTACCATAATGACTAAAATAATCCCTCTCATTAGCATAACTACCATCAGTAAGATTTACTGAAGGAGAAAAGTTAAACCAATGATGAGGGGCCTCAAAATGTTTAATTGATGTTGTCCAATCAGGAAGCTGCATTGAAAATGGGTGGATCTTCAAAGACTGTCACTCCGTCTCTGTTTTTAGGTATGAGCTTCCATGAGTCGGCTAACTCCAAACCACTCCCCCCTCCCTCTCCACCAAACCACTCCCCCCTCCCCTCCCTCTCCACCAAACCACTCCCCCCTCCCCTCCCTCTCCACCAAACCACTCCCCCCTCCCCTCCCTCCCCACCAAACCACTCCCCCTCCCCTCCCTCTCCACCAAACCACTCCCCCCCCCTCCCTCTCCACCAAACCACTCCCCCCTCCCTCTCCACCAAACCACTCCCCCCTCCCCTCCCTCTCCACCAAACCACTCCCCCCTCCCTCTCCCTCTCCACCAAACCACTCCCCCCTCCCCTCCCTCTCCACCAAACCACTCCCCCCCCCCTCCCTCTCCACCAAACCACTCCCCCTCCCCCCTCCCTCTCCACCAAACCACTCCCCCTCCCCTCACCTCTCCACCAAACCACTCCCCCCTCCCCTCCCTCTCCACCAAACCACTCCCCCCTCCCCTCCCTCTCCACCAAACCACTCCCCCCTCCCCTCCCTCTCCACCAAACCACTCCCCCTCCCTCTCCACCCCACTCCCCCCTCCCCCCTCACATCCCTTCCACCAAACCACTCCCCCCTCCCTCTCCACCAAACCACTCCCCCCTCCCTCCCTCTCCACCAAAACCCCACTCCCCCCTCCCCTCCCTCTCCACCAAACCACTCCCCCCCTCCCTCTCCACCAAACCACTCCCCCCCTCCCTCTCCACCAAACCACTCCCCCCTCCCTCTCCACCAAACCACTCCCCCCTCCCCTCCCTCTCCACCAAACCACTCCCCCCTCCCTCTCCACCAAACCACTCCCCCCTCCCTCTCCACCAAACCACTCCCCCTCCCCTCCCTCTCCACCAAACCACTCCCCCCTCCCTCTCCCACCAAACCACTCCCCCTCCCTCTCCACCAAACCACTCCCCCCTCCCCTCCCTCTCCACCAAACCACTCCCCCCTCCCCCTCTCCACCAACCACTCCCCCCCCCTCCCTCTCCACCAAACCACTCCCCCCCCCCTCCCTCTCCACCAAACCACTCCCCCCCTCCCCTCCCTCTCCACCAAACCACCCCCCCTCCCCTCCCTCTCCACCAAACCACTCCCCCCTCCCCTCCCTCTCCACCAAACCACTCCCCCCCCCCTCCCTCTCCACCAAACCACTCCCCCCTCCCTCTCCTCTCCACCAAACCACTCCCCCCTCCCCTCCCTCTCCACCAAACCACTCCCCCCTCCCCTCCCTCTCCACCAAACCACTCCCCCCTCCCCTCCCTCTCCACCAAACCACTCCCCCCTCCCCTCCCTCTCCACCAAACCACTCCCCCCACCCCCCTCCCTCTCCACCAAACCACTCCCCCCCCCTCCCTCTCCACCAAACCACTCCCCCCCCCCCTCCCTCTCCACCAAACCACTCCCCCCTCCCCTCCCTCTCCACCAAACCACTCCCCCCTCCCCTCCCTCTCCACCAAACCACTCCCCCCTCCCCTCCCTCTCCACCAAACCACTCCCCCCTCCCCTCCCTCTCCACCAAACCACTCCCCCCTCCCCTCCCTCTCCACCAAACCACTCCCCCCTCCCCTCCTCTCCACCAAACCACTCCCCCCTCCCCTCCCTCTCCACCAAACCACTCCCCCCTCCCCTCCCTCTCCACCAAACCACTCCCCCCTCCCCTCACCCTCTCCACCAAACCACCCCCCCTCCCCTCCCTCTCCACCAAACCAACCCCCCCCCCCCTCCCTCTCCACCAAACCCCCCCCCCCCCTCCCTCTCCACCAAACCACTCCCCCCCCCCTCCCTCTCCACCAAACCACTCCCCCCCCCCCTCCCTCCCCACCAAACCACCCCCCCCCCCCCCCCTCTCCACCAAACCACTCCCCCCCCCCTCCCTCTCCACCAAACCACCCCCCCTCCCCCCTCCCTCTCCACCAAACCACTCCCCCCTCCCCTCCCTCTCCACCAAACCACTCCCCCCCCCCTCCCTCTCCACCAAACCCACCCCCCCTCCCTCCCCTCACTCTCCACCAAACCACTCCCCCCTCCCCTCCCTCCCCACCAAACCACTCCCCCTCCCCCCCTCCCACCCCCCACCCCCCCCCCCCCTCCCTCTCCACCAAACTACTCCCCCCCCCCCTCCCTCTCCACCAAACCACTCCCCCCCCCCCCTCCACCCCCCTCCCCCCCCCCCCTCTCCACCCCCCCCCCCCCCCCCCCCCCCTCCCCTCCCCCACCAAACCACTCCCCCCTCCCCCCCCCTCCACCAAACCACCCCCCCTCCCCTCCCTCTCCACCAAACCACCCCCACCCCCCCCTCCCTCTCCACCAAACCACCCCCCCCTCCCCTCCCTCTCCACCAAACCACTCCCCCCTCCCCCCCCTCTCCACCAAACCCCCCCCCCCCCCCCTCCACCAAACCACCCCCCCCCCCCCCTCCCTCTCCACCAAACCCCCCCCCCCCCCCCTCCCTCCCCACCCCCCCCCCCCCTCCCCCCCCTCTCCACCAAACCACCCCCCCCCCCCCCCTCCACCAAACCACTCCCCCCCCCCTCCCCCTCCCCCCAAACCCCTCCCCCCTCCCCTCCCCTCCACCAAACCACCCCCCCCTCCCCCCCCTCTCCACCAAACCACCCCCCCCCCCCCCTCCCCCCCAAACCCCCCCCCCCCCCCCCTCCCCCCCCCCCCCCCCCCCCCCCCCCCCCCACCCCCCCCCCCCTCCCCCCCCCCCCCCCAAACCCCCCTCCCCCCCCCCCCCCCTCCCCCCCAAACCACCCCCCCCCCCCCCCCCCTCTCCACCAAACCACTCCCCCCCCCCCCCCCACCCCCCCCCCCCCCCCTCCCCCCCCCCCCCCCCCCCCCCCCCCCCCCCCCTCTCCCCAAACCACCCCCCCCCCCTCCCCTCCACCAAACCACCCCCCCCCCCCCTCCCCCAACCCCCCCCCTCCCCTCCCCCCCCACCAAACCCACCCCCCCCCCCCCCCCCCCCCCCACCCCCCCCCCCCCCCCCCCCCCCTCCACCAAACACTCCCCCCCCCCTCCCACCCCCCCCCACCCCCCCCCCCCCCCCCTCCACCCCCCCCCCCCCCCCCCCCCCCCCCCCCCCCCCCCCCCCCCCCCCCCCCCCCCCTCCACCCACCCCCCCCTCCCCCCCCACCAACCACCCCCCCCCCCCCCCCCTCCACCAAACCACCCCCCCCCCCCCTCCCCCCCACCAACCACCCCCCCCCCCCCCCCCCCCCCCAAACCCCCCCCCCCCCCCCCCCCCCCCCCCACCCCCCCCCCCCCTCCCTCTCCACCAAACCACCCCCCCCCTCCCCTCCCTCCCACCAAACCCCCCCCCCCTCCCTCCCCCCCACCAAACCCCCCCCCCCCCCCTCCCTCTCCCCACCCCCCCCCCCCCCCCTCCCCACCAAACCACTCCCCCCCCCCCCCCTCTCCCCCCCCCCCCCCCTCCCCCCCCCCCCCCCCCCCCCCCCCCCCCCCCCACCCCCCCCCCCCCCCCCCCCCCCCCCCCCCCCCCCCCCCCCCCCCCCCCCCCCCCCCCCCCCCCCCCCCCCCCCCCCCCCCCCCCCCCCCCCCCCCCCCCCCCCCCCCCCCCCCCCCCACCCCCCCCCCCCCCCCCCCCCACCAACCACCCCCCCCCCCCCCCCCCCCCACCCCCCCCCCCCCCCCCCCCCCCCCCCCCCCCACCCCCCCCCCCCCCCCCCCCCCCCCCCCCCCCCCCCCCCCCCCCCCCCCCCCCCCCCCCCACTCCCCCCCCCCTCCCTCCCCACCAAACCACTCCCCCCCCCTCCCTCTCCACCAAACCACTCCCCCTCCCCTCCACCAAACCACTCCCCCCCCCTCCACCACCCTCCCTCTCCACCAAACCACCCCCCCCCCCTCCCTCTCCACCAAACCACTCCCCCTCCCCCTCCCTCTCCACCAAACCACTCCCCCTCCCTCTCCACCAAACCCACTCCCCCTCCCCTCCCTCTCCACCAAACCACTCCCCCCTCCCCCCCCCCACCAAACCACTCCCCCCCCCTCCCTCTCCACCAAACCACTCCCCCCTCCCCTCCCTCTCCACCAAACCACTCCCCCCTCCCCTCACCTCTCCACCAAACCACTCCCCCCTCCCCTCCCTCTCCACCAAACCACCCCCCCCCTCCCCTCCCTCTCCACCAAACCACCCCCCCCCCTCCCTCTCCACCAAACCACTCCCCCCCCTCCCTCTCCACCAAACCACTCCCCCCTCCCCTCCCCCTCCACCAAACCACTCCCCCCTCCCCTCCCTCTCCACCAAACCACTCCCCCCTCCCTCTCCACCAAAAACCACTCCCCCCTCACCTCCCTCTCCACCAAACCACTCCCCCCTCCCCTCCCTCTCCACCAAACCACTCCCCCCTCCCCTCCCTCTCCACCAAACCACTCCCCCCTCCCCTCCCTCTCCACCAAACCACTCCCCCCTCCCCTCCCTCTCCACCAAACCACTCCCCCCTCCCCTCCCTCTCCACCAAACCACTCCCCCCTCCCTCTCCACCAAACCACTCCCCCCTCCCCTCAATCTCCACCAAACATCCAGCATTTTCTTTTCTTTGTCACAGGGAGAGTGAAGCAAACGTGAAATTGGCATTTTCTGTTCAGCCATTTTAGGTTTTATAAAATCCGATAACTCCGGTGCAGTCTGAGAAACAGGAAGAGGGTGAAGGCGGTAAACACATCCCATTGGTTTATTTTTAATTGGTCCGTTTCAAAACATATTTTTAAAAATTTTTGGAGACTAAAGGCAAATTCCATTACTATTTGAAAACACATGATTACTTGAGACTTTTAGGGTTCAGGGACGTTTTCCACAATATTTTAAAAAATGCGTCTGGAAAAAATCACTGAGTGCTTCTTTAACATCAACCGTCGACCTTCAACCATTCACTTTTATGTCCTTTGTTTCATTATGATATTATTTCTGTTAACTCCCATACATCACTGAAGCCGAGCCATTCCTGGGGATCTTTCCAGTAGCTTTACTCCTATAATGTTGCTGGACCTCATGTGTTTTTCAGAGTCTCTCTGAGTGTCATGGAGCGGCAGACCCCCTCCTCCAACAAGCCCACTGCTCTGTTACCAAACAGCGGCTGCTCTGTCCCACTGCTCAATAAGCATTAGATTTTTACAAGGCTTGAGTTTCTGTTTTTGTCATGGGTTGTAAAGGTTAATGCTGTAGATGTAGACACGATTTGTATAAATGCAAATCTAATGGAAACACAACAACGTACACAGGGTTTGGTCTTAGATCTCCGTCTCTGAATGTCGCATGTTAAATGGAAGTTAGAGAATCCTCCGTTGTATTGGTCGTTGTGGTGAAGAGAGAGCTGAGCCCAAAGGCTTCTTCGTCTCCTCCCTCACCTCTGGTCATGAGCTTTGGGTAGTGACCAAAAGGACGACATCAGGGATGAGTTTCCTCCGCAGAGTGGCTGAGCTCCCTCAGAGACAGGGGAGCTCACGTCTCACTTCTCTGCCATGATACAGTCGAATAGTTTATATAAAAGTTTTAAAGATCCTGATACTGTTTTGGATGGAGTGAGCTGACAAAAGGATGAAGATTTATTTTCATCGCCATTGTAAGTAAAAAGGAAATCACAAACTAGGAATTTGATGTGGCTCAAGGTTCATTTAAGTAATAAAAGTAAGAGTAGAAATAAAACATACATAAAGGTTCTTCAGACAGAGCGCCCGGAGGAGACGACAGTCTTATTGTATCAATGTTTTACACACGGCTCTGTTTACCCTCAGGGTCTGGCCTTTGGGAACATTAACTGTCTGCAATTTTACAATGCAGCTGACAGTAGCCACAAATGTGTTTTTTTACTAACTGAATACCTTTCATAGCCATAGTTCTACTACTGTCGGTTTGATGTGACAGAATTAACAGTATTATTGATGTTTCAAGTTGGTTTTGCAAAACAAATCAAGGGTTAAAACTAATTTCAGAATTTGGGAATAACTCAAAGTCACAGCGCAGTGCACCAAGGACCAGGGAATAGCACCATCATAAAGTTGATTGTCCAACATTATCTGTAAAGGAAAGAGCCGCACGCCCAAACTTTTATAGTAAGAGATTGTCTTTTTACAAAAGAGTGTCCCTGGTGTGACCTGAGTGTCCCTGGTGTGACCTGAGTGTCCCTGGTGTGACCTGAGTGTCCCTGGTGTGACCTGAGTGTCCCTGGTGTGACCTGAGTGTCCCTGGTGTGACCTGAGTGTCCCTGGTGTGACCTGAGCGTCCCTGGTGTGACCTGAGCGTCCCTGGTGTGACCTGAGCGTCCCTGGTGTGACCTGAGTGTCCCTGGTGTGACCTGAGTGTCCCTGGTGTGACCTGAGTGTCCCTGGTGTGACCTGAGCGTCCCTGGTGTGACCTGAGTGTCCCTGGTGTGACCTGAGTGTCCCTGGTGTGACCTGAGTGTCCCTGGTGTGACCTGAGTGTCCCTGGTGTGACCTGAGCGTCCCTGGTGTGACCTGAGTGTCCCTGGTGTGACCTGAGTGTCCCTGGTGTGACCTGAGCGTCCCTGGTGTGACCTGAGCGTCCCTGTTGTGAGTGTAGTTTATGACCTGTAACCAAGAAGCTATAAAACAGATAGGGTTTATTGCTGTCTAAAGTACTGCTATATTTTGCCATATAAAATATTTCCACAGAACACGAAGAGGATCCCAGAGTTAGATGGTCCTCCATGGTCCTCGATGGTCCTCCATGGTCCTCCATGGTCCTCCATGGTCCTCGATGAGCCGATGTTTGGAGACAGTTGCTTTGTGCTCAAGCATCACGGTTTTATCATCCTTTGGTGATTGTTGAGAGCAAAATATGTGGAAAATCCAGTTTCACAGCGAAGCCTCTTGACTGTCGGATGTTCACTTAAATCTAACGCAGACAGTAATATTAACTCTATTTGAAACTTGATCCATCTCCTGAAATTCATCTGCCTTACAGTCAATGAAGCAAAATAACATTACCATACAGGCCTCTAGGGGCGACAGTAGCTCAGTCGGTAGAGCACTGGTGGGGCGGCACGGTGGCTGAGTGGTTAGCACTCTCGCCTCTCAGGTTGGACCAGGGCCTTTCTGAGTGGAGTTTGCATGTTCTCCCCGTGTCTGCGTAGGTTTCCTCCGGGTACTCCGGTTTCCCCTACCACTAAAAATATGTCCAATAGTTCTGGCATGTGCCTCCTGTACTGGTAACCTCGCTCCCATCTCTGTGTGGAGTGAGAGACAAATGCCCAAAAATAACAATTGTAAACCGCTTTGAGACTCAGATCTGCAGTGAAAAGGCGGTATATAAATAAAAACTTACTTACTTACTTACTTACTGGTCTTTGGACCTAATGGTTGTGGGTTCAAATTCAATTTCATTGATAATGAGACTACTTATTTTGTCATCTCAAGTTTTAGGATGTGAAATATTATCTTAATCATAAACGACCCTATTAACCTGCCCTAACCCTATGCTACCAGGGTTTTTTTTTTCCAAATTTGAAAACTGCTGTTTTTACAGGCATGCAATTGCAAAATAAAAACAATGTCTCTTGACAAATTGCCAAAAAAACTGCTGTGAGTGTCGTAGTTGTACAATAACATCATGCTATTAAAGTGATTGTCTGGAGTTTGTCAGAAAGAGAGACAGAGAGGTACTTGATTTGAAAAAAACGACGCAAGCTCCTCCCCCTTCCTTTCTGATTGGTCTACACCTACGTTTCCATAACACTTTGAAATGTTAATCAGAGAACATATTATACATATACATTATTAATAAACATGCACGGAGGTTTTCAGAATTCTTTGTTCAGAATGGTGTTTGCTCTGGCTACCGCAAACACCGCCTAAATAACACCTTAAGGCTTAAACGCTTCATGCAGCCTTGCCCAGAGACAACAGGGAGACAGAGCGATAAAACCAGCCTCACCTGTTTTAGTGCCTGTGGGAGGATTGCATTATTCCATCTTGGTTACTGACATTGTTCATGCCTGATCTCCTTCAAAGCCATAAATGAAAACATTATGAGAATCCTATTGTGCAAACCGTCTTGTTGTTTTAGATCTGAATTCTTCCATTGGTACATACAGTCCCACCCTGTAGGGAACAATAAGATAAACTTTATCATTATCTACTACAATTACAGTTAGTATGTGTGTGGAAATAACAGACCAAACAAGTAAGGGATAATGTATATCACGCTGGTCATTATCGGAAAATAAGAACCCGACGTACAGGGTCTGCTCCACAGATAATGACCTGTGTACTTTACATTATCTATTTATTATATTATTATTATTATTATACGGCTTTATACCAACAGTTAGGCTAGTAACAGTTAGGCTAGTAACAGTTAGGCTAGTGACAGTTAGGCTAGTAACAGTTAGGCTAGTAACAGTTAGGCTAGCAACAGTTAGGCTAGTAACAGTTAGGCTAGTAACAGTTAGGCTAGCAACAGTTAGGCTAGTAACAGTTAGGCTAGTAACAGTTAGGCTAGTAACAGTTAGGCTAGTAACAGTTAGGCTAGTAACAGTTAGGCTAGTAACAGTTAGGCTAGCAACAGTTAGGCTAGTGACAGTTAGGCTAGTAACAGTTAGGCTACAGTTAGGCTAGTAACAGTTAGGCTAGCAACAGTTAGGTTAGTAACAGTTAGGCTAGTAACAGTTAGGCTAGCAACAGTTAGGCTAGCAACAGTTAGGCTAGTAACAGTTAGGCTAGTAACAGTTAGTACAGTTAGGCTAGTAACAGTTAGGCTAGTAACAGTTAGGCTAGTAACAGTTAGGCTAGTAACAGTTAGGCTAGTAACAGTTAGGCTAGTTAACAGTTAGGCTAGTAACAGTTAGGCTAGTAACAGTTAGGCTAGTGACAGTTAGGCTAGTAACAGTTAGGCTAGTAACAGTTAGGCTAGTAACAGTTAGGCTAGCAACAGTTAGGCTAGTAACAGTTAGGCTAGTAACAGTTAGGCTAGCAACAGTTAGGCTAGTAACAGTTAGGCTAGTAACAGTTAGGCTAGTAACAGTTAGGCTAGTAACAGTTAGGCTAGTAACAGTTAGGCTAGTAACAGTTAGGTAGCAACAGTTAGGCTAGTGACAGTTAGGCTAGTAACAGTTAGGCTACAGTTAGGCTAGTAACAGTTAGGCTAGCAACAGTTAGGTAGTAACAGTTAGGCTAGTAACAGTTAGGCTAGCAACAGTTAGGCTAGCAACAGTTAGGCTAGTGACAGTTAGGCTAGTAACAGTTAGGCTACAGTTAGGCTAGTAACAGTTAGGCTAGTAACAGTTAGGCTAGTAACAGTTAGGCTAGTAACAGTTAGGCTAGTAACAGTTAGGCTAGTAACAGTTAGGCTAGTAACAGTTAGGCTAGTAACAGTTAGGCTAGTAACAGTTAGGCTAGTAACAGTTAGGCTAGTAACAGTTAGGCTAGTAACAGTTAGGCTAGTAACAGTTAGGCTAGTAACAGTTAGGCTAGTAACAGTTAGGCTAGTAACAGTTAGGCTAGTGACAGTTAGGCTAGTAACAGTTAGGCTAGTAACAGTTAGGCTAGTAACAGTTAGGCTAGTAACAGTTAGGCTAGTAACAGTTAGGCTAGTAACAGATAGGCTAGTAACAGTTAGGCTAGTAACAGTTAGGCTAGTTACAGTTAGGCTAGTAACAGTTAGGCTAGTAACAGTTAGGCTAGTAACAGTTAGGCTAGTAACAGTTAGGCTAGTGACAGTTAGGCTAGTAACAGTTAGGCTAGTAACAGTTAGGCTAGTAACAGTTAGGCTAGTAACAGTTAGGCTAGTAACAGTTAGGCTAGTAACAGTTAGGCTAGTAACAGTTAGGCTAGCAACAGTTAGGCTAGTAACAGTTAGGCTAGTAACAGTTAGGCTAGTAACAGTTAGGCTAGTAACAGTTAGGCTAGCAACAGTTAGGCTAGTAACAGTTAGGCTAGTAACAGTTAGGCTAGTGACAGTTAGGCTAGTAACAGTTAGGCTAGTGACAGTTAGGCTAGTAACAGTTAGGCTAGTAACAGTTAGGCTAGTAACAGTTAGGCTAGTAACAGTTAGGCTAGTAACAGTTAGGCTAGTAACAGTTAGGCTAGTAACAGTTAGGCTAGTAACAGTTAGGCTAGTAACAGTTAGGCTAGTGACAGTTAGGCTAGTAACAGTTAGGCTAGTAACAGTTAGGCTAGTAACAGTTAGGCTAGTAACAGTTAGGCTAGTGACAGTTAGGCTAGTGACAGTTAGGCTAGTAACAGTTAGGCTAGTAACAGTTAGGCTAGTAACAGTTAGGCTAGTAACAGTTAGGCTAGTAACAGTTAGGCTAGTAACAGTTAGGCTAGTAACAGTTAGGCTAGTAACAGTTAGGCTAGCAACAGTTAGGCTAGTGACAGTTAGGCTAGTAACAGTTAGGCTACAGTTAGGCTAGTAACAGTTAGGCTAGCAACAGTTAGGCTAGTAACAGTTAGGCTAGTAACAGTTAGGCTAGTGACAGTTAGGCTAGTAACAGTTAGGCTAGTAACAGTTAGGCTAGTAACAGTTAGGCTAGTAACAGTTAGGCTAGTAACAGTTAGGCTAGTAACAGTTAGGCTAGCAACAGTTAGGTTAGTAACAGTTAGACTAGTGACAGTTAGGCTAGTAACAGTTAGGCTAGTAACAGTTAGGCTAGTAACAGTTAGGCTAGTAACAGTTAGGCTAGCAACAGTTAGGCTAGTAACAGTTAGGCTAGTAACAGTTAGGCTAGTAACAGTTAGGCTAGCAACAGTTAGGCTAGTAACAGTTAGGCTAGTAACAGTTAGGCTAGTAACAGTTAGGCTAGTAACAGTTAGGCTAGTGACAGTTAGGCTAGTAACAGTTAGGCTAGTAACAGTTAGGCTAGTAACAGTTAGGCTAGTAACAGTTAGGCTAGTAACAGTTAGGCTAGTAACAGTTAGGCTAGTAACAGTTAGGTTAGTAACAGTTAGGCTAGTGACAGTTAGGCTAGTAACAGTTAGGCTAGTAACAGTTAGGCTAGTAACAGTTAGGCTAGTAACAGTTAGGCTAGTAACAGTTAGGCTAGTAACAGTTAGGCTAGTAACAGTTAGGCTAGTAACAGTTAGGCTAGTAACAGCTAGGCTAGTGACAGTTAGGCTAGTAACAGTTAGGCTAATAACAGTTAGGCTAGTAACAGTTAGGCTAGTGACAGTTAGGCTAGTAACAGTTAGGCTAGTAACAGTTAGGCTAGTAACAGTTAGGCTAGTAACAGTTAGGCTAGTAACAGTTAGGCTAGTAACAGTTAGGCTAGTAACAGTTAGGCTAGTAACAGTTAGGCTAGTAACAGTTAGGCTAGTGACAGTTAGGCTAGTAACAGTTAGGCTAGTAACAGTTAGGCTAGCAACAGTTAGGCTAGTAACAGTTAGGCTAGCAACAGTTAGGCTAGTGACAGTTAGGCTAGCAACAGTTAGGCTAGTAACAGTTAGGCTAGTAACAGTTAGGCTAGTAACAGTTAGGCTAGTAACAGTTAGGCTAGTAACAGTTAGGCTAGTGACAGTTAGGCTAGTAACAGTTAGGCTAGTAACAGTTAGGTTAGTAACAGTTAGGCTAGTAACAGTTAGGCTAGTGACAGTTAGGCTAGTAACAGTTAGGCTAGTAACAGTTAGGCTAGTAACAGTTAGGCTAGTAACAGTTAGGCTAGTAACAGTTAGGTTAGTAACAGTTAGGCTAGTAACAGTTAGGCTAGTAACAGTTAGGCTAGTAACAGTTAGGCTAGTAACAGTTAGGCTAGTAACAGTTAGGCTAGTAACAGTTAGGCTAGTGACAGTTAGGCTAGTAACAGTTAGGCTAGTAACAGTTAGGCTAGTAACAGTTAGGCTAGTAACAGTTAGGCTAGTAACAGTTAGGCTAGCAACAGTTAGGCTAGTAACAGTTAGGCTAGTAACAGTTAGGCTAGTAACAGTTAGGCTAGTGACAGTTAGGCTAGCAACAGTTAGGCTAGTAACAGTTAGGCTAGTAACAGTTAGGCTAGTAA